TCCCGGGGATTACTGGGGCTCTGTCCGGTCTCGGGGTCCCAGCGGCTCCTCTGGAAGGGGAGGACCACGTCCCCGCGCCGGTCGGGGTCGAACACCGGGTCCCCGGGCGGGATGTGGATGTTGAGGAACTCGGCTGGGCAGCCGGGGGTCTCCACGCTCACCAGGTCCGAGAGCACGTGGTAGCCTGTTCGCAATGGGGAGGGCGTGCAAGGACCAGCTAAGGACCATTCTCCCTTCTGCATCAGGTATCTAGCCCTCCCCGACTACCCTTGAAGCTTCAAAAGACTCCTCAGCCATTTTTGGCAAGTCCAAGTCTTGACCTCCCCCACCCTTCCCAATCCTTTGTTACACCCTGGTCCATACTGTTTTCATTGTCAGTTTGGTCTTCTCCTTGGTAACTGGGAGGTGCCGGGTGAGTGTGCCTAGGCAGTCAGGCTGGGAACACCTGCTCTAACATGCAGCTGGGAGCAGCCTGCCCAGAGAACCTGCCAGGCTCACTACAACACTGGACACTGGGATTCAAATGTAGGCACCCTGGGTGGCCAGCAGGAGCCCGGCATTCCTGCTGGGAGCCAACAACCCACAGTCACTGGGGTCCAGCCACCCACCCTAGCACCCCCATTTTGACACCATGCCCACCAGCCCTCTTGTCAAAATCAGAATCCTGCCCTAAGACTGTCCTAGGAGTCACAGCGGGCAAAGAGTGAGAACAAAAGTCCCTACGAGATTATTGTCATGCTCCTGTCTCTACCTGCAGTCCCTTCAACAGCTCAATGTGGGGCAAATTTATGCCTCCCCCAACCAGACTTTTCTCCCTCTACTTTTTCTTCCCCAGAAAAAGAAATACAAGACATAGCTTTCTTGACTTAAGAAAAGTCATTTTAGGCCCCAGACATCTTATGATTTATGCCTACTTGCACAAAGCACATTCTTGAGTTATCTTTGCAGGATTTAAACCCCTTTGAGCACTCAGATATTAGAGCAATTAAAAGGCAGACAATTGATGCCAACCCTTGCTGGCCCTTGTGACTTCCATCAATTAAGACCTGGACTCTGTCACTCCGAGATGACTTTTGCCTAAATTCTAGGCTTATTCCCCATTGGACAAGTGCCTTCATAAATGCATATGTACCCTTACCTTAAAAGTTCCCCAGTTTTATTATTTGGGAAGACACTGCTTTAGGAAATATTCTCCATGTTTTCCTTTACTTGTTCTAAATAAAACTCTTCCTAGTCTTGTCTTGGTTTTGTCTTTTGACTCAATATCCACCGAGAGGCAAATCCAGTTTTGGGTAAGAATACCCCATCCCATTGCCTCCCCCTCCATCTCTCACCTGCATCTCTAAGATCCTCCATCACTTCTCTCCCTCACTCCCCGACTCCCCCCCTCAGACATAGAGGTGTCCAGCTGACCCTACTGGCCTCCCTCCCCCAGAGGTTGAGGGCCTCACCAAAGAAGACTCCCAGCACTGTTCGGTTTCGCAGGGAGGCCTGCCCTGCAGGGCCCCTCATGGCAGTGTTGCTAAGGTTTCTGGGGTTGGGCAGGTGGGGTTCTCTCAAGGGCTGGTACACACCATCTGCATAGCTGGCTGGGACCAGGCGCTGCAGCCGAGAGCCTGGGGTAGGAGGGGTAGGGACAAAGATAAATCCTCAGTGGGGCTCCCTTACCTCCTCTCTCCCAGGCTTCCCTCCATACCACAGATCCTAAAACCTTAAGAATGGATGAGCCTTTGCTGGTACCTGCCAGGCCTTGCCCCTTCGGGCACCCCTGCCCCTGGGGCTGTCTCTATTTGGCCTTCACCTACCTTTGCTGCCCCATCTGTGCTCCATGAGGTTGTTGTACCACCCATCAAATCGCTGCACCTCCCAGGAAATGGGGTTCTGAGCTCCTGTGTGAGAACAGAAGGAAGGGGCAGCTGGGCAAGTCCGGGCATGAGAGGACAGGCAAGCCTGAAGGATATGGCTCTTGGGAGCCTGGTAAGGGGAGCAGCAGAAGGTGGACACCCAGCACAGTGTGGAAGGTAGGGGACAGAGGGAGAGAACCGAGGACAAAGTGGTATCCAAACTCAAGCTCAGGGGGGAAACATGGCACCGAGCACTGAAGCAGTGTAGCCAGGGGCGGTGTGTGCTGACAAGTAACCTCAGAGAACAAGATGAAGCTGGAGAACAGTGGCGATGTGGAAGGGCATGCAGGAGCCTTCTACTGCCCTCACACCTCAGTTCCCTGGGGTGACAAGGCAGGACAGAAACCATTCCCAGCCCTAAGATACCATAGGGAGTAAGAGCCAGCCGCACCCCAAATGCCAACCAGGGAAGGAGAGGTCATTCTGTGACCACTCCCTGGGTAGGGGAAGTGTGGAAGAGGGGCTTGGCCCTCTCCTGCTGAGCAGAGCCCCCAGGGCAAGTGTGTGGGCCCTGGGGCTGTGGCTCTGGGGCCTGTTGCTACTCTGGTCTCTTTTCCAGTTTCTGGGGTGGGGATCAGATCAGGGACTGCCTGGTCATGGGATAACCTTGCCGCCTCCTCTTTTGAGGCATCAGGTTCCTCATGTAATTCCTCTTATTGACCCTATTATACTTTCCAAAAACTAGGATCTGGGAGGGAGCACTCAGTTGTTGAGGGAAGAACTCAGGCAGTGAGGGCAGAGGGAAGGGTCCAGAATCAGAGGTGGAATGGGGGTCCTTCTGGTCAGTAGATCAGATGACCAGTTAGATTCCTTTCCCCAAACTAGAAGGTTACAGGGCTAAAGCTCCCTCTCTGCTCACTTCATAGAACAGAACAAAGAAAAGGACCCTCATCAGCCAGCGAGAGACCCATTCCTGATTGTCTTTCCACTCAGACTGAGAACAAGATCTCAGAGCTCCCCTCCTGCCCCACACTTCCATGTGCATGTGCACACCCATGTGTGCACACTCACTCACCAGCAGGTCAGAGAAGGAAAGTGACTCAGGCCCTGATGTTTGAGCAAAGAACTCAACTAAGGATCCAGGACTTGGGGCAGGAACTAGTGCAGCTATATACATGTGATCTCTAAAATAAGATGAACTGGTGGCAGAACAAGGTGGAGGAGGGCCTTTGGGAGGGAGCATAAGGGAGAATGCCTTCTGGGAATAAGTGGCAAGAGCCTACTAGAAAAGGAAAATCCAAGGTCAAGGCAAAGAGAGAGCTGGAAGGAATGGGAATGGGAACAGCTCTGTCCTGGGAGAAGCTGCAGGGATCTATTGCCCAGTCAGAATACATCATTCCAAAGGTTTTCTCTGCTTCCCTTTCCTGTATCCTCCAACCCTTGATGATAAGGAACTGGCTATTTAAAAAAAAATTATTTATTTATTTGAGAGAGAGAGCACGAGCAGGGGAAGCAGCAGAGGGAGAGGGAGAAGCAGACTCCCTGCTGAACAGCGGGGCTCTATCCCAGGACCCCGGGATCATGACCCGAGCCAAAGGCAGACACTTAACCAACTGAGCCACCCAGGCACCCCAGGAACTGGCTCTTTTTAACCTAACTTGTAGCACCTTAAACCTACCTCCCTTCTCAGAGACCCAGACTTCAGAGAATGGCCTCAGATTCTAGTAAGAGACTGTCCAAAGCTGACAGAAACAAGACGAAATCGAATGGACCGACCATATTAGTGGTGGTGGTTGGTTGTGTTGGTTTTTTTTTTTTCCCCATATTGTTTTAAAACACTGGTGACTTCCCTTCAGCTTTGGGTCTAGTCTGACCACAAGATCCATTATTATCTTGTATGCCTCATCAGTCTTTTCCCACTTGGGATCAGGGGTCCTTACATTATGAAGAAAGAGAGAAGACAGGGGAGAGAGAAAGGGCCTCCAGACTGAGGAATGAAATAGGAAATGCTGACACAGCAGGATTCCTCTGTTCCTAGCTATACTTCTTCAATCTATACTTACCCATGGATGTCCATGACCCAACCAGGAGTGTCCATGCCAGAGCCAGGCAGAAGCCCATGATGAATATGATAATAGGGCTTAGGTATTAGAACACCCCAAAATGGAGACCCTAGAAAAAGAGGACAGGAAGAATGAGTCCCAGCAATTCAGAAGAGTCAGGCCAGGGCCTCTGCAGGCCCCTGTGAATCTAGGTGTGGCCTGGGCCAACACCACAGTGAGGAGCAGAGAGCAGGAGACACACTGTCTCCCAAGAATCTTTCATTCATTCAACAAACACTTGACAAGCACCCACTATGTATCAGGCACTGACCTAGGAACTGGAGATTAAGTGATGAACAAAGCAGACAGAAATCTCTGACTTCCTGGACTTACCTTCTTAGATTAACCGAAAAACGTTGCTTTGGTCCAGCTTTCCAAAGTGTTATGTTCCTTGGACAGAGCCTTGCTTGGGGGCCAGGACACTGAGCTGCTGCTAGTCCACGAATGTGGTCTTAGGCAGGTCACTTATCTGATCTGGACCTTGGTTACCTCTTCCAGCAATGGGAGTAAACATGCCTGAACTGTCTATCTCCTAGCATGGTTGCCGGAATCAAACATCAAACCTGAGAATGAGGTTGAATTCAAACAAGAAAGGTGACAGGTGTTATGTAAATGTGATGTAGAGAGAGCGTGGCTGGAGCATGGCTCCTCTCAGTGGAATCAAAGAATGCAGCGCCAGGCACTCCCATGCTTGGTCCCAACTTTCTGCTCTCTCTCCCCAGGCTAACAAATCACCCAGGGACAACAGGGAAACAGAGGCAGCAGGGGACTCAGGCTGGGACTCCTGACCAGCACAGGGAGTGCCTCAGGCCAGTAAAGATTTTCTAAAGGCAGCATAGAAACTGGGGGGTGGGGGTGGGGGTGAGGCTGGGGAACTATCTAGTGGAAGAAAGTGGGAACTCAGAGAAAGCCTTATCTCAAACCAAACCCTCAGGACTCCTGAACAGGTTGTCTAGTCCCAGAGGAGGAGCCCCAGAGGGTGATCTCATCCCAACTTGCTATCTCCCATTAAACAAGTGAAAAACCTTAGGCCCTGTCATAACTCAAAAGCTCAGCCACTCTATCCACTCCATCCCAGAGACTGTCCAGATGGTGACCTTTGATAGTGTGTGAAGAGCAGGGTCCTGAATGGTTGAAGCCATAAGGATGGATGTGCTGAAGTGGCCACAGTGGTCCTTCCCTGATCTAGGATGCCCTGCCCCTTCCCCCCTACCACTGTGTCTTCAGGATCCTGGGCCCCAGAGACCACTCAGCCCACAAAAAGCATGTAGTGAGCTTTCAGGCCAGGCTGTGCAGATAAACCTGAAGAGGAATTGGGTATGCTTAATAACCACTCCTTAAGGGTGGGTAGCCACAGTGATTTATACAACATTGATTCCGTAACTTTCTAACAGCCTTGAGTGGAAGGCATAACCTTTTTTTTTTTTAATTCTTATGTTAATCCCCATACATTACATCATTAGTT